TTACTGGGCCACCCCACCACCTCCTCTTACTTGCTTTATGAAAACGCTCGTACGCTTTGTAAACCAATTGGACGATGCGCGTCATTTTTGTTATTGAAGCCACAAAATTTACTAACTGGGCTGAATGGCTCATTTTTAAATATTTTAAAATTTTTTTTAAACGTTTAAACACAAATTCGCAACGTAAGGTTTCCCAAGTTTCTGTAATAAAAAGTAAATGTCAAATAATAGCTGATGTCGCTGCTGCGTTCTAAAAAATCACGGCGCCGTCGACAAAGCGTTTAGATAATGTAGATAAAAACTTAATGTCGTGTCGTGTGGTGGCATCGTTTTCGATGTGTTCAGAGCGTATCGCTTAAGGCGCTGGCCCCAATGCAGGCTTGCTTTGCTTGCTTAGCTTTGAACTTTTGACAGTTATTTGGAATATACTAAAACGTATGTATGAAGGGTGGTCAAATGGCAGCTTTGCTTCACTTGCTTAGGACACGATATCGAACCGAAAGTATCGATATGGTACTCATTTAAAGTATCGCTTTAAAAATATCGGGTACCCATTAATATCGGAATAAAAAGACTCGATATTCCAAATATCGATACCAAAATCCAAAAAATTTATCTGAATATAGGTTTCGCATATAGGCCGCTACACCCCAGGTTAGAAGTGCGCAACGCTTGAAAATGAAAAACAGCTTCCCANCAGGTTAGAAGTGCGCAACGCTTGAAAATGAAAAACAGCTTCCCAAAAAATACAATCGCCGTTCAGAGTCGACATAAAACTGTAGGCACCCCCTTTGTGTTGACTTAAACATTAATTACCGTTTAAAAATGTTCGTATTTAAATCAAGTCTTAACCAAATGGATTTTTCCATTATACATACACTACGTACATATAATGGAAATATTCAATTCAAATACTCCCGTACTAAAATGAAGCATTTTTCACTACACGGATGGCGTTTTGCACGTCTCGGATGCTTTTTCATATGTAATTACGAAGGTACATGTATACAAACCCTGCAGTGAAAACCCAAACCAGTTAGAAAAAATACTAGTTCATAAACTAGTATGTGCCTACCAGTTCGACATTTTCGAAGAACTTAAGCGTTCAGCGACATCTGCCTTTGAATTGCCAAAGCCTAAAATAAAACGCAATTAATTGCTTTTCTTACAAATGTCGGCTGTGGCGTCACGTGAAGACTACTGGTTCTGGTTCTAGGATCGCAGGTTCGAGGCCGCTTGGAGGTGGTTAAGATTTTTAAAGTTAGATCAATGCAAGTAGGAATAATTATTTCAATTTAAATATAAATAACAAATTTAAAAATCTAGTTGCATTACAAAAAAAAGAAGCAAATATATGGGAAGAAATACTTGTGCCATAAAAAATAGATAAAAAAAAAATATTTTTTTTTATTAAATGTAAGAATAACAAAAAAAAAACCCTAAATACAAAATATAAATAAAAGAAATATTATAAAAAAAAATGTTTCCCTGCACCAGGGCTTGAACCTGGTACCTCAGGTATACCACGCGAGTGCTTTGCTCTATCGGCCATTGCGACTGTTGGAGTGCCGCGAGCAAAAAGGCATACTAATGCTTTTCATAGAGGATGAATTGGCAGACTATATCATCAACTGGTATGATGCTACTAGTATTTCTACTAGTAGATGCTGATGCATAGCCTGACAATTGACATCTCGTAGGACATCGCAATGTTAAAAATACCAGTCGCTAGCATTGAAAAGGGATAGAACGTGAACTAGTTGTGCAAACGCAAACTGGTAGAATTCTAGTTCACAACTAGTAGCTTTCCTTGCAGANGTCGCTAGCATTGAAAAGGGATAGAACGTGAACTAGTTGTGCAAACGCAAACTGGTAGAATTCTAGTTCAAAACTAGTAGCTTTCCTTGCAGAGAAGCATGCACAGCGGTGACAACACATACACACATACATGGTATGACATAATACCTTTACATGTATGGCTGTAGCTGAGTGTGCAAAGACGCTTGATACAATTAGTTGCGGCCAAGAGGGTCCGGGTTCAATTCCCATCAGACGGAACATAAACTTAATTTTTTCTCTTCTTAATTACGAAAAAGTATCTGTGCACTTCCCAACCCCATACTTTATAACGTATATACTCAAATTTAAAACGAGTTGGGTTGGTGCTCTTTCATATGCGTATTTTTTCAATTTAGCAAGTTTTTTTTTTTAATTCTAAAATTTATTTCCCTCAGTGTTGGAATGTGAGTTTATGACATTCGATACGATACTAGGGTTCTGGTACTCGATTCCAAAAAATATCGTTTTAAAACTATCGAGTAGAAAATATCGGTATCGTATGCCAAAAGTATCGATATGGTATCGTATCGTATCGAAATTCGTGTCCCTACACTTGCTTTAAACGCCTCAAAGTTTCAAATAGGCAAATGTTTTATTTGAAAGCATTTCGTAGGCTTTTGACAAAAAGATATGTTCCCGTTCTAAATCAATTCAAACAAACTGCTGCACTTTTTTATGTACAAAAATTTTCTTACGTAATTAAAAAAAATATATATGTATAATATTAGTAATTCAAATTTTAATAAAAAGTAATCTATATCATATTTATATTTAACATGTCGCGGGCTCAAAGTGAAAAGTTGCTAAGTCCATTTTTACTAATTTTACAGGAACTTTGAATACAACATTTTGCGTGTTTAAAGCAAAGCAAAACTCCATACAAATCAGAAGGATGCGATCTCTGTTAAAAAATTTCGTATTATTTTGGCCTTATTGCATATTCGGACTTATAAAATTTATCTTCCATTGAATATAAACGAGAAAAAATAAAACAAGTACCGCGTGTCCTTAATTTCTCTTACTTTCTATGTCAAAATTTGAGGCTTCATTACAGACTTATCAACTTTTCACACAAAGCTAGCGATATTTATGATGTCAAACTACTGGTAAGTCGTCTCTTGAAAAATCGATTTTTGTTTAATTTTTTGTTTCTAATAAATGTACATATAGTTATATATGTATGTATAATTATTATCATTCCTTTGAAATGCAAAAATTAATTAACACTCATTTAAAAATAAATTTGAAAAGATTGTTCTGTATTTCTGTTTTTTAATTTTCTGGAATTGGATGACAAAATTATTCTTAGTGTAAGGAAACAGACCTTGACTTTTTGACTACACAGCAGTGATCGGACTTGAAAAAAATTCTATGTGGTAGAATCTGGAAAAAATGTGGTAGATTTAAAAAAATGTGGTAGATCTCAGGTTTTGGATCAAAATTTCTACAAAAATTAAAAAGAAGGGGTTTACCTAAATTGCAAACTTTTTAATTAGACTCTAAAAAATTTTAATTTTGAAGTTCTGTGTAAAGCAGTTTTTTCCATATCAATATATTTTTCGAACATATTTCAAGAGATTTCTGCAACCTTCCGGAGTGCTGCCAGCTTTTCTTTTTATCACATCACGATGTAGCGAACAAATGTGGCACGTTCCAAAAACCGCTACTTGGGATTTACCGATTTTGACAATCTTTCACAAACTCGCCGTTTTTCATCATTTTCGCTATTAATTCTTTTTAAAAATCATAAATTTTGCAATTTAACACAATAACACCACGTTTCCTGTCGAAAAATTTATTATTGAGAAAATTTACTATTTTACAGTTTATTTTAACCTCCCATTCGGCTTTGTTTACTTTTACTTGAGAAATTTCATCGCCGCCGGGTATGCAGAATCTTGTATTATATCATTCTTGTTACCATATAGTTTTTAGTGTTGGACAATTTTTGCTCTTAAAATTAAGAAAATTATGTCGACCAAAAATAAAACTACTCAAAAACGCGAATATGTGGTAGATTTCAGACCTTGTGTGGTAGATGTGGTAGATGCTCAAAAAAGTGGTAGATCTACCACAATGTGGTAGAAGTCCGATCACTGCTGCACAGTGACAGCTTTGACAGCGTTCCAAGCCGTCATTTGGCCAAACGAGTTTTTGAAGTAAATCAAAGCAAATTAAAGTAAGTAAGGTGTGCAAAGCAAGCCTGCATTGGGCCAGCGCCTTTACGCAAAACGCCACATGGCCGAGGGGACTGTATCGTCACACTTTGTAGACGTTGTCGTTGCTATATGCAATGCGATGTACTCCCCTCGTACAGATCCCAAGGCCGTCATGGAAGATCGCACTCACCCGTGCCGCCAACCGTTCTGCACCTACATCGTTAGTGTGCAACCACGAGGGGCGACACAGGTGTGTGCTTAGGGCCCACTAATCAGTCTACGTATTCTCCTCACTACAGGCCGCTACGAGTCACCCTCACGAGAGGCCGCCGCTACACAGTGGTTCGGATCGCAAATCTAGCTGGACGAAACTATTTAAACAAATACTCGTTGATGGATCTTTACACCACTTCTTACCTAGGGGATTTTTGAGTCGCTGATTACGAATCTGAAGTCACTTATCAAAAATTCAAAATGGCGGATCCAATATGGCGGACGAAAATTTAAAAAAATCGGTAGATTCCTATGAAACTGGGTATCTGGGCGTTTTCTGGGTCGCTGATTACATATCTAAAGTCATTTACCAAAAATTCAAAATTCCGGATCCAATATGACGGACGAAAATTTAAAAAAATTGGTAGATTTCTATGTAACTGGGTACTATTTTTTTAACTCTTTCATAACCAAAGGTTTTATAACTCCAAGTATTTTTCTGTTTTAACACACAACCCCTCCCCCTCTTCCCCGTGCATCCGCCACTGATCTTATATTTATATTCAGATACATTCCTGTTAATAATTACTTTTGAATTTTGAGATTTGACATACTGTCACTAAAATGTAAATATCTAAGCCAATTGGTTAGACTTGGTTATCGAACTTACCCTCTGCATTTGCGAAGGTGTAAAGAATAATATGCAAGTGGTTTTATAACGGCCTTCGGCGGCCTTTACTTTTCCTACTCTTTAATTTATTTTTTTAATTAATCAAAACGACGATTTTTCAGAATAAATTGGCTTATACCAATGTGGACATAAATTGCGTTATGACCTCTGAAACTATAGCGGAATAAGTGTAATTTTTTGTTTATAAAGTCAATTTGCAATTATGCAAATATTTGTGAGTGCAATTAGCAATCTTTTAAGTTAAATTTCAGCTTTTAAAATAGAGTTCTCAAATAGGCGGCGTTGACTTACCTTTTTTTGTTTGTTTTCATATGTTAATGCTTTAATAAATGCAATTTCTATTTGAATGTATTGTCAGGAATGTATTCCAAGTACCATTAAGTATTTTAAAAACAAAAAAAATTTTGACTTTCGTCCAGCTAGATCTGCTATCCGAACCACTGTGCGCTACTATCACAGTAAGTCATCACCAGTTCGGCCGCCACTACCGCCCCTAGGCCAACCCATCACTATGCTCCCAGCCAGCCGCCTCCGATAAATATCCGGAATCCAGGAGCGCTGCTCCCTCCATCCCCACAAGCTAGGGCCGCTACCGCCACCTTCGGTATTGGGACCGCCCCATCGTTACCGCCCCCGGAGCCAAAGCTGCCACTCGTCGCAGGCCAGGACCGCTATCACCGTCGCTTTCATTGCCGCTACGCTCACCGGCATCACCGAGTACCACCGTCGTTCGCATTGCCGTTGCGCTCACCGTCGTCACCGAGTGCTGCCACTCTCACCCTTACCGATCCATAGCCATTGTTATTCTCACCACTACTTGACGTTCAGACACGAAAACTTTTGTTGCGGAAACTCGAAGCTTGTAGGGGAGAGAGCGACGAGGAAAGGGGACGGGTACCGAGTCGACCGTACTCGGGAAACACGCTTTGTGCTCTCGTTCGTCTGTGTAATTCAAGTTGGCGATTCACAGCTGACAACAACAATTGCGTATAAACGAGTTTCTGTGTGTGAATGCAAAGGGCAACACCAAAAGAGAAATCGCCGATAATAAGAAACTCGAGTTTCCGTGTTTGAACGCAGACCTACCGACTCGTAGCCGTTGTTATTCTCACCGTTACCGGCCCATAGCCGCTGTTACTCTCCCTCTCTTTCACTTCTTGGACGAAAGGTTGTGGGCGCTCTGGCCATATCTCGCCTCGTGTGTGTGAGTGTGTTCTCCGTATTACACTAACTACCACAATATAACCAGTAAACAACCTTCGGTGAATTTGGCGACTGCCTTCCTCGGGGATGAATATGCTAGGGATGAAATTATTGGTACACACGCCTTCCAAGCACGCAGGGTTGCTTTTTAGAAACAAAAAATAATTAACTCCAAATAGTTTCAAAAAGTATAGTGTAAAACGAAATTTATTGAATAATTCCACATAAAATGGTATACATAAATGACGCATTTTCTAAACGATTTAAATTAAACGCATTTGAGAATTGATAGAAAAGTACTACGGATTGTAAATTTTTGTTAACTATGAGGTGAATGAAAATTTTCAACCCGGCCTGATGGTTTGGAAGAATTTTTTTGTTCTAATTTTATTACTAAGGCGTCTAATAAATGCATGGCTTTTAGTTCTAGAAGAATAAATGTCAGTAAAGACAAGTCTTTTTTGTATAATTTCTGACTTTAATTGCTCAACTTCTTCTGAACCAAAGCAACTGTCAAAAATTTCCAGCAGTAAAAAGTTACGAATTGGCACAGCAGAAATGAAAAATTTTCTCGCCATAATAAAAAGTTTTTTCAACATGGAACTTTTCTACTAATTGACATGAAGTTACTATCTCAACGCTCGGAGCGCTGCCACTGAGGGCCTTTGCCAACTGATTAAAAAGAGAAAATTTGGAAAGACCAAACAAAAATTTTGAGATTTCTCGTTGTGAATACGAATGCCATAGTTTTTACCTAGCTCGTGGGACTACGCAAAATTTTGACAGCTTGTAAATATGTATACACATAAAGTTGTTGGCGGTAATAAGGAGTCAAAATTAAAATGGAGAAAAGAACAAAAAGCGTAGGTTAGCTGTCAGTTATAAAATAAATCCAATTTATTTGCGAATATTTGTTTATTCTTTTTATTGAAAGGCAACCACTCGGAAAAGCTTGTGTTAATTATATTGATAACAGAACCTGCCAGCTCGCACGTTGTCTAAATTCTCAAGTAACATAAAGTCCACAAAAGAATAAGTACGCCATGTATAAATTTTAACAATACACAAAAATATAGCTTTCGCAAGAGCGTTTGTTTGGTTTTTCAACACCATTTATAATTTTCTTTTAATAAAATCACGATTTGACAAATACTTAAATTTATTTATCTAATAATAATATAGCACACAACCCTGAAATCTAAGAAAAAGTCTGAGGAAGGCCATTAAATAGCAGCACACAACCCCGTGCCTTCCTCAGGAGTGAATATAACTACAACAACAACGATTACTACAACAACAACCCAAAAAGGTTGGTTACTGTCTATACTGTGCTAACTACTGTGTTTTATTTGGTGGGGGTTAGTGCGACCTCCATTGTACCCTAGGTCGGCTGAGCTTACCTCAGCCTTCGACAAAACCCACCTCATACCATTTAAAATATTCCTTTAATTGTTCGAAGTTTACAAAAAAATGCACTTGAAACTTACAAAATAAACCGGTTGCGCAAACAACGTGTCAATAACGTTTTGAAAGTGTAACTTTGGTTTATTGTTGTCTAAAGGGTTTTTTTGTTTTACAAAAACAAAGTGAAGTTTATGTTATTTTAGCATATTCCCTACAGAATGGCAACAAAAAATAATGTAAAAGTGCCCTTACGAAATTGGACTTTCGAACAGCCAAATAAATCATTTGACCTAATGTGTATGAAAAAATGCATCACTTAAAACTTCTAAGGCAAATGTAACTCTTCCCGATTTATATGTATGTTTACAACCTTGTTTTGTGAAAAGCTTGTCCCACTATTTGCTTTTTAAATTCATAAATTTATTCTTTTACTAGTAAAGAAAAGCAAATCATCAATGAACTCCTTTTTTCGACTTTCTGAAAATTCTCAATGGCAACGCTGCGTCTATACATAACGGTTGTTGGGTCATCTGTCCCTTGTCCCTTTTCTCAAAAACACATACAAATATATTAAAATCTCGAAACCGCCTTTCAGGAAAACACTTGGAAAAGTTGATGTTTTTGGGAAATATAACAAAAAAGGAGTTATTTTGTTAAACTAATTTTATATGAAAAAACTTTATCTATTAATCTCGTAAAAATGTATTCTTTTGTTTTTTGAAATCAAATACTAAAACTAATTGTTGTCTTAAAATTTGGCTGAAAAATTATTAAAAAATAAATAATCTAGTAAAAATGCATATTTTTGTGAAAAAAAGAAACAATACAATTACTTTGAAAAATATGCAAAATCGTAGTCTATGTACAAGTACTCGATACCTTTCCGATACTGAGTAGGTATCGATACCTTGTTTGATACAAGTACAAGTACTGATTTGAGTAATACCTTGATGGTATCGATTTATCGCTAAAAATTACTTGTATAAACGGCATTTCATACAAATAGGCTTTATCGCACGAGTATTGTTACAAAAGCTTGGCCAAGCACCTTGCCTGGTATGAACGCACTTTTAATTTCCTTTTACAAATTTCATAGAAAAGAATTCACATCAATATTCATTCACTGTAATTTTAAAATGACATTTTTGTTTAAAAATAATATTTTGTCGAGGTTTTCACCAAGCAATACTGTTCGTCATTCTTCTAAAATTCTGACTGACACAGAAAAAACTCTTTCAATAGTTGTTGAGCTAGCTGGTATGTTTAAAATTTGAAAGGCTTCTAAGAAGTGGAAAATATTTAGCTTACTCCCAAAATTTCAAATCATCGCCACAACTTTTGTTTTCTAATTTTTTTTTTAATAAATCTGTATTTCCATATTAATGTCTCCAAAAACTGTTTCTGCTGATTCATCTGTTGTACCTTTGAATCAAAAGTGAATGCAGTAAATAAGTTAAACAGCAGTAGCAAGGCGAATTTATACAAGGTGGTGTTACTGGCGAATTTAGATTTTCGCCGCGGTACTTCTTAGGGCCGTTTGCACCATGTCTAGTTAATTCTAACTCCCAGTTAAACATCTTTATCGACGTTATCGACACCCATCATATAACATGTGATCGATGAAGCAGTTAACGTGCTTAACTGAAGGATGTACCTCCAGTTAGCGTTAACTAGACATGGTGCAAACGGCCTTTAGGGCCGTTTACTCAATATGTGGTTAACACTAATCTCCGTTTAAACATCATTATCGACGTGTTTGGCTCCATGCATATAACATGGAGTCGGTAACGTCGATAACGATGTTTTACCGGAGATTAGTGTTAACCAGACATTGAGTAACCGGCCCTTAATGTCTTAATGTCAATGTTAATTCGCCTTGTTTACAACAAACACATCATTTTGACATTAGGAAGTACCGCGGCGCAAAACTAAATTCGCCAGTAACACCATCTTGTATAAATTCGCCTTGAGCAGTAGTTTACGATTTTATTTTGGATGAAAATACACATACATATGTTCATTTAAGTGGTCCAAAAACAGTAAAGTCGGAATTTTAATGCCGCCACCTCCTAGGATTGTTCTATACCAAAAAATATACCCCAACTTTTTATTTAAAAATTAAAAAAATATTTAGGGAGTGCTTAAAGCGCTCATAATTTTCCATGCGGTTTATATGGGAAAAACAACTTTTCGTAGATGGTGTATGGTGGTGAATATTTATTTGGTACAGAACAATCCTAGGGAGTGGCGGCATTAAAATTCCAACTTTACTTTTGGCAGATGCATTTTTGGACCACCTTAATGGACATACATGCATATCAAGCCCTGACGCCAAAAAGATGTAAGCGACATTTTTTAAAATTTTAATTCTAATGCTCTAGGAACCTTTCTGCATCAATAAGAAAGTTTTGAAAAAAAATAATGTCACTTACATCTTTTTGGCGGTTAGGGCTCGAAATGTAAAAATTACGTGATTAACGGAAAACTAACTCACACACGCTCACGCCAGAAAAAATTTCAGTCACGCACGATCACGGAAGTAAGTGATATTTCTCTCAAAACCGCTCACGCTCTCGCGAGAAAAAACGTGACACGACGTGCCACGTAAAAAATCACGTGTTTTGCCCATCTCTAGTACATACATATGTATATACGAGCACCAATTAAAGATGCTATAAAAAGTCTAGTAGAATTAATCCCACTTTCTACAACAAATGCATTCAGAGTAGACGTGTTCAAATCATTGCTGCTTTATTAATCGGTTTCTTTGCGTTTGCCACCGTTTAAATAACTTTAAACAAGTTACCATCCAACAAACTATCGTTCCGGGTTCTGTCAGTGTTAAGTTCCTGCATCACCTTTATTTATTTATTTATTAATTAATAAATAAACAAATCAAATTTTTCCTATTTCGCGAAATGTATACGAATGTGGTTACAAGAACAAAATCAGCGCGCCAAGCTGTTGCCTCTCCAAACCAATCTACTGCTCAACCGACTAAACAACAAAGAAGCGGGAGCCCATCGTCAAATAACTGGATAACACAAATTGAAGCGAAATTGGACATGCAAAAAGAGAGCATAATTGAAGAGCTATCTGCATGCATGCAAAAGTCAGAGGAGCGCGTTATGCAGCGATTCAGTGAGTTGACGGCTGATTTCGCTAACCTAAAGCTGTCTGTAAAAAACATTGAAGCCCGAGTTACGAAAGCTGAGCTTGAGTGTGCACAAATCCAACAACTACGCGCCGATGTGCAAGCGATAAAAACTCAGCTGCATGATCAATCTGAGAATGCACTGATACAGCAGCTGAATTCTGATGTGCTAACACTGCGTGCGCATTTGGATGACTGCCAAAAAACTCTTATCTCGGCTAATGTTGTTATAAGAGGCGTTCCGCAAGCAAGTGAAGTGAACTTGAAAGAGACATTCTCTAAGCTGTGTCGTGTAGTTCACATTGATGCTCCACCAGTACGTGCTGCTTTTCGCATACCAAGCAAAGACAACAGCAAAACGGCAGCGATCATAATAAAGATGGGGTCAGCGAATGACCGCTCACTCTTGCTTGGTGCGGTTGCCCGTTTTCGCAAGTCAGCAAAAAGATCACTTAATTTAAAAGACTTTGGTCATAACTTAGACGGGAGAGTGGGCATTTATGAGAGCCTCACTAAGCACAGCCGAGAAGTTATGCAGTTCGCGATGCAGCTTAAAAGGCAGAATCAAATTTCTTCTGTGTTTTCAATGCGTAGCCAAATATATGTTCGGGTGAACCCCAAATGCAAAGCAACGAAAGTATCCAGCATAGACGATGTCCAGAAAATAGTAGCAATCAACACGAGTAAACAAAAGTATCGACTACCAACTACAAGTAGAGTGAGATTAGCGTTTAATACTAGGTTCACATATAAGTAGATTATCTTCATTTTCGAGCTTAACTTCCTAATCTGTAATTAGAAAAAGAGATTAGCCATATAAAATTCCTCCCTTGTTAATCTGTAATTATAAAATAATCTCAGATTTAACCGATAACTTTTCGGTGTCCATCCTAGTTTTATCGATTGTTTTTGCGAAGAAGAGGAGAAATGGCAAATGTAAAAGTAAACAAAAATGGACGCTGGCAAGGAAAAGAGGGTTCTAAAGGTATTTTTTTTTAATAAAATGTTAAGTTAAAATATATCTATATTGCTCAATATAGCAGAAAAACGTGATCACGGTGGCACAGATCTTTGACAAATGTATGAACTTTAAAATGTGTGCTAATTTATACTTTAAGCGAATGTGTAATAGTATTCTTAATCGCCTATTCCTTTGCTCCCATCTTTCTTTACTTACACTCTCAATAATCTTCCGTACTTTTGACAGATTTTGTATTTATATTTATATATTTGTTTATTGCATTTTACGTACGCACATAGATTTCTTTGTAATGCAATGTCGGCTTATTTGTTTTGATGCCTCTGAATCGTGATAGCTACGTATGTTCTAGGGACAACTCACACAGCATGATTCGTGTCTTGACTAAGCAAAAGCAAGGTCTTAAAATCTGCCACATTAATGCGCAAAGTTTATTCAAAAAAATTGACGAGTTCAGATTCCTTTTTGAGAATTCTGATTTAGATGTAATATGTGTGTCGGAGACTTGGTTCTCTGCTGGGTGCAGTGATCAATTATTTTTTGTAAAAGGGTATAAGTTATATCGGGTAGATAGAATCGGGCGCGGTGGTGGAGTAGCTATTTATGTCAAAAGCGGTATTTCATGCAAACTTGTTTGGGTGTCTTCGTCTCCAAGCTTGATTGAGTATATTTTTGTGGAAATATTTACAAAATTTGACAAACTGCTCGTTGGCTGTGTATACAGACCCAGCAAACACATTGATTACATGCAATTTGTGGATTTCCTAGAAAAAATATCGATCGGCTATAACAAAATTATTTTGATAGGGGACTTTAATTGCGACATACTCAGTGATATAAAATTTCCACTTCTTATAAAAAATTTGGGTATTTCCTTTGTAAACAACGCCGAACCGACTCACTTTACGTGTACTTCTAGTACTCTTTTGGATATTTTCCTGGTAAACGATACGTCTAAAGTGCTTTTATATGATCAGCTTTCAGTTCCTAACTTCTCCAAGCATGACTTGATATTCTTAACATACGACTTTCATTTTGTCAGCAACTTCACGTCTTATTCGTATCGTGATTTCAACCATATTCACTATGACTAACTCGATGCAGCCGTTAATGCTATTAACTGGAGGTTTATCTATTGTCTGACTTCTGCTGATGATCAGATCAATTTTATTTAGAACAATGTTAGAACCCTCTTTGACCAATTTGTTCCGCTTGTAACGAAGCCTACTAGATTTAAAAGGCGTCCATGGTTTGACAACAATATACAGAAATTTATAGAAAAACGCAACAGAGCGTACTCGGTTTGGAAGAAGGCAAAGTCAGAAAGTGCCTTCACTGACTATAATACTTTTAGAAGGGACGTTACCAAAGCTATTAAATGTCAAAAACGGAAATATTATGAGCACCTATTCAGTACAGCTATTGGCTCACAGCAGACTTGGAAGCAGATTCGTAATATAGGAGTTAGTAAGAAGAGTACTATCACACCTGAATACATAAACGTTGATGAGTTAAACCGAGAGTTTGTTAATCTGTCCTCTACTCAGAATAATGTAAGTTATTCTCGCTATATTACGAGTTCTAAATTTTCCTTTTCTGGGTTTGGTTTTCAGTGTGCTGATGATTATGAGGTTGTCCAATCTATACTCTCAATAAAATCAAACGCCGTTGGCCTTGATGGCCTTCATCCGAAGTTTGTCAAGTGCCTGCTGCCAAAAATTCTACCATACCTTACTTACGCTTTCAACACAGTTTTAACCACGGCGGTCTTTCCAAAATGCTGGAAAGAGGCTAAAATTGTTCCTATTCAAAAACCAAATGGTGATTTTAGACCCATTGCTATTCTGCCATTTCTTTCTAAGGTTCTTGAACGTATAATACATCGGCAAATAAACTCGTTCGTAAATAGAAACTGCTTGATTAGTCCGTACTAATCTGGATTCAGAACCAACAGAAGCTGTATCACTGCACTATTAAACGTCTCGGACGATATAAGACAGAACATAGATAATGATCATGTTACCTTTCTTACTCTTTTAGACCACTCGAAGGCATTTGACTCTGTCGACCATACATTACTTTGTTTGAAACTTGGGAACCTGTTTAACTTTTCTAACCCAGCTATCGATCTAATTAAATCATACCTCCTTGAGAGATCCCAGGCGGTAAGTGTGGATAGTTCCAAGTCTAACCTACTGCCTGTAACCAAATGTTTTCCGCAAGGATCTATACTTGGACCTTTATTGTTCGTGTTATATATCAACGACCTACCCAATGTTCTTAAACACAGCAACGTACATATATATGCAGATGACGTTCAAATCTATCTCAGTAGTCCATTCGCCGCCACTAAAAACTGCAAATGTAATCTGAACGCTGATTTGTGTCTCGTAAATGAATGGGCTAATGATAATGGATTAGTCTTGAACCCCAGAAAATCGCAGTGCATTGCTACATACAAGAAAACTTTTGACCTTGACCACTACCCTAAAGTAACTCTAAACAACTCTGTGATTACATCTGTTGACACCGTCAAAAACCTTGGTGTTATATTCAATAGAACACTGACGTGGAACAATCATATTTTTACAACAATAGGCAAAGTATATGGAATGTTAAGAGTACTATGGACAACTCAACACTTCACACCTGTTAAGATAAGATTGTTAATAGCAAAGTCTTATTTGATTCCAACTTTGCTCTATGGTTGCGAACTCTATGCAAATTGTGACAGTGTTTGTAAAAAAAAACTTAATGTTGTGTACAATAATATTGCACGTTATATTTACGACATCAACCGTTTTGAACACATTTCCGAATATGCTTTGAAGGTATGTACTATTTCATTAGATGATTTGCTAAAGTTTATGTGCTTAACACTCCTACATAGGATCTTGGTAAATAAGAAACCCATAATTCTCAATGAACGATTAAAACTTACACGATCAGTGCGCTCCACACAAATACTGCAGATGAAATTCAGCTCACGCATATCTGAGCGTCAATTTTTTGTTTCCACAGTCCGCCTTTGGAACATCTTACCTGTGGAGATCAGAAGTATCAAGGGCATATTGCATTTCAAAAGAGAACTATTGTGTTACTTTGCTTAATAAATTTCAAAATCTGTCATATTTCCATATTTCTATATCTTATTTCATAAAGTTATCACCCTTGCAATCTCATCATCCCTTCCTAACTATCTTCATAATATTATCTGTATTTATATTTACTATGCTAATATTTCTTATTCTCAAACACTGTAAATAAAACTAATGGTTGTTGTGTTTGAAATCTTGAATAAAAATAAATTTGCATATAACCTCGTCAGTAGGCATAATTCAATAATACAAGGTTCGATAAACTGACAGTTGTCTCTCTCGCACCGCTCCCTTAGCAGTGGCACCGTGTTGCTTCTTTGAACTTTAGGAAAAAGTGTAGCTTTGCTGTGAAATAGAAGTACATATAAGCTTTTGTGCAATATGTTTATTTGTATATGCATATTGCGGACATTTAACTCAAGAATGATAGAATACAAGATTGCGCCGATTGCAGTAGAATTCGTGAGATTAATTTTGTCATCGTAGAGTTGACAACTGAGAGCGGCAAATAATAGGGCATTCGCACGAGGCGATTTTACAGGCAACTTTTAGTTGAAAGCAAAAATCGCCTCGTCCGAACGGCCTTTCAACTAACCGCTTTCAACAAAGTTGGTCGCCAGCCAACTTTGAGCTCGTTCAACTTTTTTTCCTTGCAACCCTGTGTTTGTTTACATTCTGTATCAGTGTTGGAAAATAAAATTGTTCCTTCAGTACGAAATCTATACAAAAAATGTACTTTTCGGCTATAAATTGTACATACTTTTTAATTTGCTCATATATTTTCTTAGTATATTCCCTTCAAGACCAATGATTTTATGGTATTCATGAGAAAGTTTTATTGTTTATGTACATACGTTTACGTATTTTACACTTTTACAAATTGATTCCACGCGCACATGTACTGCATTTAACGCAAATATGTATGTACACATTTTCAGGTATACATCTTAACAAAAAGCATATTTAAGTTGTTATTTATGGATAAAAGAGACATTTTCCTTTGGATTCAGTACTAAAATTTTACATTTTAATAGCACTTCAAGTGCTTATCAAAACTTTGCGACAAGATTTGACCATTTATCTTATTATTATTCAATTTTAATTATTTTTTTTAAATACTGTTTATATTTTAAGAAAAGCCGTACAAATCCAAGGTTCAAACTTTGTGCAACATTAAAAAAAGCCAACAACACTTTTGTAAAAATTTCGAACTTTTTAATTCGATTTCTTAGATTTATTTTGAGTGTGCGGTTTTTTAGCCCATTAAATTTTAATATAACTAAGTTTTTTAAGATTTCATTGATGAAGGTGTTGCTAATTTTCTGACAGCTGACATCGTCGACAAAAAAAATTGCCAAGTTCAACGGTATGTCCCAGCTACTTTAAACTTGCACTTTATTATACTAAAATTGAATGGGCTAAAAACTAAAGAATAATAATAAAGCTCGAAATTTTTACGAAAGTATGTTGTCTTTTGGCTGTTTCGCAAAGATTTAATCTTGGGCTTATACAGTTTTTCTTAAAGAATACATTATATTTTATAAACAGATAATTAAAATTAAAGAATAATAAAATAAATAGTAAAATCTTGTCAATATGTGAGTGCCGTAAAGGTATTATATTTAAGAAAATCTCTTCTTAAAACTAACGAAGGCTTTGTTTCTATATGAAGCTGACTTCGACATTTTGTTTTAATAAAACTTAGTATCGAAAAGTTTCTTTAAAAATTTGCCTAGGCTATATTATACTGGTTCGTTCAAGCCATTTTTCAAAACAAAACAACAAAAGAGAATACAAAAAATTTCTTGCTGTGAATTTTCAGAGCTATATATATTTAGTATTGATTACAAAATTGTACTAAAAAGTACTGCGTAGTAGGAAAGTATATTGTAAATGAAATTGTATCAAACAAGTACAATTGTACCAAAAATGCCAACACTGTTCTGTATACATACTTTTTCTTCTTTTCTACTTTTTACTCTTATTTTATCTTTCAGCTTCGCTAAAAGCACTTCTACC